CATACATTCTGGATTCATTACAAATCAACTGAAATATCGCAAGCCTTTTATTGTTTTAATATAGCTGATTATGGCGTACAGCTGAAGAAAACTCAAAAATCCGATATTCTAATATTTTGAGATAGGATATTTGGGTTTCTTAAGCTGTAAGCCATAATCAGCGATATTAAAACAATGAAAGGCTTGCGATATTTCAGTTGATTTGTAATGAATACAGAATGTGAGACATTTCATGTTTTTTAATTGCATTACAGAAAATAAAGAACTTTATCACAATATTCTAATTTTCTGAGACAGTCCTGTATAAAAACTATGCTCAAAGTATCAAAGAAAGAGTAAACAAGGCTATGGCAAGATTAACAAAACTGTGGTAAAACATGGCTATGACAAAAAATGTGGCTATGGTACAAAACAAGACTATGGCAGTAAAGTAACCAAGGCTGTGACAAAATCAAACCTGACATGGGGTGACGAAAACAGTTATTAATTAAATATAGTTCAGTTCAGTTTCACTTGGTTTGGTTAAATTTTAATTATGTCAGTGAACTAAGTCACATCTAATTTCATATAAAGTCATCTTTGTTAATTTTATTTGATTCAATTTTGATTATGTCAGTGAACTAAGTCACATCTAATTTCATATAACTAAGATCATCTTTGTTAATTTAATTTCGGTTCTTTTAAAATAAAAAGTAAATAATTAAATATAACTCATTTTAGGAAGGAGAAGTTAACTGTGAAACATAATTTCATTTAATCAAGTTCCATTTGGGCCGGTTTTGGAAATTTTGATTCAGTTTCACATCATTCTTAATTTTGTAATTAATTAATAAATTAATGATGATAACATGCATATTTGTGTACATTTAATTGGTCAGATTAATCCATTTAATTCAATTTAACCACATTTTCATTTGAATAAAATTGAAGTGAGTTTAATTGAATGAATGTTTTCATAATGTTTATCCAACATATCTTTTAATAGCTTTGGTTACAGCAAAGAAAAAAAACATAAACCTGTAAATTATTTAAAAAAATATTCACATATATGGAAGGGCAACTGAATAAGAGTACGTTTTTTAAAAGATTTATTAAACATTTTTTTCAGTGCTCCTTTAAATCTGTTTTACAGGTTTACAGGATTTACAGGTTTTGCCTAAACCGGGTGTAGAAAACCAGACAGAGCCATTTGGTTTTATTAGATCCAGTAGTATTAACATGACACACATTTTTCATTCTTCTATCATTTTTTCACAGTATTAACTCATTGACTGGCAGCCATTTTCAGAACAGAGAGTCGCTGACTGCCAGAGTTTTTTGAGCATTTTGACTGATTTTTCTAGAGCCACAGAATAGTTTGTGCTATGACTATGTAAACACCGAACACACCAAAAGAAAGAGTAGACTCTCTTCTTTCATCAGGACAATTTTTTTGTTTCTACCTTATTCCGTTCTTCTTCGATGTGCGTCTCAACGGCGCCATTTCTCGCATAGCGAACCATTGCGTTTGTTTTTATTTGCCTACAATCTATGCTAATCTCCCATCAAAAGTGGCACTGCTACCTAGAGGGTCAATTTGTTAGTACATACTCTGTCTAGAAGCCGATATTTACGGACAAGCTTTAGCAGATCGTCCCCCAGCCACTCGCGTTGAAAAACATAAAAGACGTCTATAGACGTCTTTGGCAGCCAATGAGTTAAAAATACTACATCAATTTGAACCTTACATGCACAAAATGCAGAGACTTTCCTCTGATATTCATAAAAACAATTTCAAAAAATGTAAAAGGGCTATTTCTGTATTTCTGTATTTCTATTAGGTGCTGGTGGAGCTCTCCAACGGCCAGAAGGTGACGGTCAATAAAGACGACATCCAGAAGATGAATCCGCCCAAATTCAGCAAAGTGGAGGATATGGCCGCCCTCACGTTCCTCAACGAAGCCTCAGTCCTGCAAAACCTGCGGGAGAGATATTTCTCCAGCCTGATTTATGTGAGAAACTCGCGAGTTTTTACATAAAAAACGACAAATCTGTCTTTGTAAAAATCAATATCAATGTCAATGTCAAATTTATTTATATAGCACTTTAAAACAGGCATAGAACTGCACCAAAGTGCTGTTCAAGAGTGACAACAACACAAATGAATAAAAACAAAGTATCAAACACTAGTTCAATTAAATGCCAAGGAATAAAAATGAGTTTTAAGAAGCAATTTGAAATGATCCAGGCTGTGGGCAGATCTAATTTGGAAAGGTAGATTGTTCCATAGAGCAGTGTTTTTCAACCTTTTTTGAGCCAAGGTACAGTTTTTCATAGAAAAAATCTCGAGGCACACCACCAACCAAAAATCTTAAACAAATCTGTAGCCGCCTATAGTAACACTATAGTTATTCTTATTTTATTCTTATCTTACCTTAAGTGTTTTGAATAGGAATCCAATACACAAAAAAAGTATTTTTATCTTATTTTATATTTCTTCTTTCAAATTGCACTTAACATGTCCACTTCAATATACAAAATTAAATACAAAATCTAGTCATAAGGAATTATTACATGATTATTCCACCAGTCACTAGTAAAGCACAGACACTCAAAAATGGCATATTATTTGCAGATAATTAATTCCTTATCAAAAAATCTTTTTAGACCAATTAGGTGAAATAGGATGATTTTCTACGGCACACCTGACCATCACTAACGGCACACTAGTGTACCGAGGACCAGGGGTTGAAAAACACTGCCATAGAGAAGGAACAACAGCAGAAAAAGCCCCATCTCCTTTCCTCTTTAATCGGGTCCGAGGAACTGTCAGTAAAAGCTGATTATTAGAACGTAGGGTTCTGGACACGGGCTGAAATTTTCAAAGTTCCAGAAGATACAGGGGAGCTAATCCATTTAAAGCTTTATAAGTTAATAAGAGAATCTTAAAATCTATTCGATGAGAAACAGGCAGCCAATGTAAAGAAGCCGGTATAGGCCTTATATGGTCACGCTTCCTGGTTCCTGTAAGAAGCGAGTCCGTGTTAGCCTGATTCTATTGGAGGAGAGGATTCAAACCAGGGCTCGGTCATCCAAACGGGCCAATGGGAGCAGGGCTGCTGTCCCATGTGACCTGAGAAAGGAGAGGATACTGTTGATGATCCATTCAAATAGAGGAGGAATATCTGTGTTGGGAATTCTGTAGAAAATCACTGAAAAATCAGCTTTTTAGGTGTTTAGATGAAGGAAAATCATTGTTGTGTTCAAAGAGCTCAGAAATCTGAGCTTTCAGATTAGCTTTTTTGTGGTCCTTTTGCCTTTTTTCGAGTCTTTTTCAGCAAAGTTTTTATATCTTCTACAGTTTTAGATGCTGTACTTGGTCTTCTTAGGCCCATTTTTGCTCTTTTTACCTCTGTTTTTGGTTTTCTGAGATTTTTTTGTTGTCTTTTGTCCTTTTTTTGTCCTTTTTAGCATAGTTCAGGTCCTGACCCACTGTGGGAACTCTGACAGGTTTTCTGTGCTGTTAAAAGATCTTTTTTTGGCCAGATTTTTGGTGTTTTTAGCATAGTTTTCCATGTTTTCCATGTATATTCAGGGTTTGATTCAGGTTTATGAACCACTGTGGGAACTGCTTCCACCTCTTATAAATCCTAACAGTGCTCTTAGATCTAATACAATGATGGTTCACACAGACTTTGAATGAACAGGTTAAACGTATTAGAAGCAGATATTATTGATTGCACCCATTTTTTTTAAAACTTTGGATGTTCAGTAGTTCTCTTATATGTCGAAGGTATCATTATCTTTGGTTCTTTCTTCTCACTGGAGTTGCCGCCACTCTTTCCACTTTCAGACATGATATTCTAAAAATAAATAGTTTTATTTCCTAGTTTAAGAGAGATTAACCTCCCCCCCCACAGACGTACTCGGGTCTGTTCTGCGTGGTGGTGAACCCCTACAAGATGCTGCCCATCTACTCGGAGAAGATCATCGAGATGTACAAGGGCAAGAAGCGCCACGAGGTGCCGCCGCACATTTACTCCATCACAGACAACGCCTACAGGAACATGCTGCAGGGTAACCACAACCAGAGATGTTTAAAGTACTGGAGTAGAGGAGTGGAGTAGAAGTACAAGTACTATGTAAAAAATTTTACTTGAGTGAAAGTAGAAGTATTCTTTAAACATCGTACTTAAGTGGAAGTACGGAAGTACTCCATTTTTTTTGTACCTAAGTATTGCAAGTAGAAGTATTTCAAAAATGTTCACGCAAGTATTGAAAGTACAAGAATTAGTAAAAGTACAAGTACTGTGTATATTTTTTAAAAAGGCAGTCAAAAGTTTGATAGATATTGTTTATATTATTTCAAACGTGTAAAAGGCCATACAGGTGTTTACAAAAAACAGAAGACTACATCTGCCTTAGCATCAACAGCACTTCATCTACTATTATTTATTATTCCAGAGTCAGAATCCTGAGCTGACCCTTTATGCTAGCATGTTGCATACAGCTAGCCAGCTAGGTTAGCTTTAGCTAACGTTATCATACAGCTAGCCAGCTAGGTTAGCTTTAGCTAACGTTAGCTGCTACGTCCTGAGTGAACAGGGAGAAGTGAGCTAACGCTTATTTACTAGCTTATATGTCATTGTATTTTTTAATTTACCTTGATATGCTTCTTCAGATTAGATGCGGAATTTTTAAGGCTATAATTAAAAATCTTTCGGGAGGCTTTTTTTAATAGGCTATGCTTGATCGTTCAAATCGCCTATGAGGAGCTAGCTTCCCAAACCCTGACAGAGCTATCTATCATTACGTTTACATATCAGTAACGAGTAACGATTCAGCCCGTGAAAAATCGATCGGAGTAGAAGTATTGAAATAATCAAAAATATGTAGTGGAGTAAAAGTAAAAGTAGGGGAAAAATATCTACTCCAATAAAGTACAGATACTGCATTTTGGTACTTAAGTACAGTACTTAAGTAGCTCTACTTCGTTACTGAACATCTCTGACCAGAACACAGTCCCAAACCAGAACACACACCAGGATCTACTAGTGATGTGTCCCTCTGTATCGAGGCTTCGAAGCGCGTGGCGAGAAATCCAGGATGATTTCACTGTGAAGCGCGTATCGAGGCTTGTGTCGATGACGTAAATGCTGACGTTTGAAGCCTCGTGACTGATTCAGGAAGTGGTTCGGCCGGTTTGGCGATTTATTTGAAATATAAGGGCCAGCAAAACGCATTGAATCCCCCCCTACTCACATTTTCTGGACTTGGGACTTAATTAAGAGTGTGTTAGCGATCTATTCAAGCTTCCCTGTCATTGTATCATAAAGACAGACACCATATAAAAGTCTATAGTTTATGTATAAGCATCACAAACATCCATCCATTTATTAATGTAACGGCAGCATCACAAACATCATTGATTAATTCACTCAATTCACTCAGACACCAAAGCCAGAGTCTTGTTATAACCACGCTGTACGGTTTACATTTATTGTCCACCAGGGGGCAGAACAGAGAAAATGAAGCACCATGAAGCTTCAACACACGAGTGAACCAATTGGATGGAACGCTTCAAAGCTTTTTGAAGCTTCATCTCGCCATCACTAGGATCTACTGCCAAGCTAGTCCCACTGACCCAAAGGGGGGTTAGGGTTAGGGTTAGGGTTAGGGTTAGGGTTAGGGAGGGATAGTATAGACCTACATGTGGTGTAGGTGTCAGTTTTGGTATCAAATGAGCTGCCCACTGGCTTCAAAATGTAGGTTTGAGGTGTTTATTTTATCATCATTATCATTATCATGATTATTATTATTAAATTATTGAATTACTATTTAATAAAATCTATTATTATTTAATTATTTAACCCATACGACTTGATCGAGGGGGCCCACCCCCCCTGACATGTCACCATGGAGATTTGTCAAGAATACAATAGTGTTTTTGTATTAAAGAAATCTAGTTTTTAACTGGTCACATGACTGGATCAAGGGGGCCCAGCCCCCCCTGACATGTCACCATAGATACGCCCCTGGGTGGAGATTTTTTTAAAGATA